CCTTCTCGACTGCACACAACTCCCTTCTCATCCCTGGTAGCTAGCTAAGAATGATTTTGCCTTTCCAAAACCTGGAATGTTTTAAGAGCCAGCCGTCTTAGGCAAGCCTGGTGCCCTGACCCTGGGGAGGGGTCTGGGTGCGAGGGTCTCGTCCTGGTTTTCACGGAAGCGCGTGGGCTGCAGGGGTGCCTCCTTCCGCAGGGTGGCACTCGCGGCTGCGCCCGGCGACCTCGCCCTGGGGGTCGGTAGCACGTGGGGTCCCGGCCATCCGCTCCGCTCGCCCACTGCGGCCTTGGCCTTTGCACCCTGCAAAGGAGGGAGGGGCGCTTTCCACTGCCTGATAAACCCACAGTCGGGTAGACCCGGAGTCGCCGGTAAACCCGAGGGAAGCTCTGTGCTGCGCCACGATGTTGGGGATGTCAGCTCGGAGCCTGGCCAAAGGTGAGGTCGAGCCGCCGGGGGGCTGGCGTGCGATCTCGCGCCCCTGGGCCCGCGGGTTTGGGGGCAGCCCCTCCAGGCCCGGCACCGGGTGCAGGGAGCAGGCCGGACCCGCGCGCGGGAAGCTCTCCGCGGCCGGTGGGGGTGCGGGGAGGGTGGGCGCCCCCATGATCGTCTGCTCCCCCATGACTGTCTGCTGCTCCCCGCCCGCAGGCAGCGCGCCCCCAAGCCCGGTCCCGGACGGCCTGATCCGCGTCTACAGCATGAGGTTTTGCCCGTACGCCCGGCGGACGCTCCTCGTCCTGAAAGCCAAGGGGATCAAGTAAGGACTCCAAACACCCTTCTCGAACTTTCTGGGCTTGAGGATGGGAGTGGGGATATAATATGAAAGTCGTGGACGCACATCTCAGAGGTGGGAGAGCTGCCCCGGACTTGCATCGAGTGCATTCTGATTTATTGCGACCCCCTTAGGGCGGAGTTAAATGATCCTACATCACCCTGGGCTGTTAACTTTATGGAAACAAGGGCCTCTTTCTCCTGCAGAGCAGTTTCCTGCCATCTGGCCTTTCAGCCAGCTGCTGATCGCTTATCCACTATGCTACCGGGGTGGGAGGTTCCTAATCCATCTCTCTGTTGTTGTTGGTCATCATACCAAAACCGACCCACGATGACCCTCCACTGGACTTTGAGAAGCATTAAATGGCGGTCACCCTGCACGAGATCGCCCCTTTTCTACCTGTGGATTCGAACCTCTGAGCTTTGAGTTGCTAGTGCAACTTCTTACCTCCAGGCAACTAGAGCTGCCCAATCCGCTTGTCTAGGACACCTCGTTTAACTAACCAGCCAATTATTATTATTATTAGTTCTATCAGAAAAGCGGAGACTAAGTAAAGTTAGTGATTTCCCTGGTCACCGGCAGATCATGCTGCTGCAGGTCCTTTTGCCCGGAGCAGGTCTTCTGATTCCTGTGACGTTTGCCACTGCGCCTCCCCATTGTTTGGCCTTCCTGTCCTACGCGGTTTGCTGCCGCTCCGAGTAGAGTAGATGATTCCTCCTGGAATAACCAGTCCAAAAATCCAGATCATTCATTATGTTTTTAAGCTTGGCAGTGGTTGAGCGATTGTGAGGATGACACTGGATTAGGAAGCGCTGTGTACTACTGTATTTTGAGGTGCTATGAGTCGGGGCCACGTAGATGACATGTAAAAGAGAGAATTGTATATATTGGTTATTGGTTGAATTGAATAAAAGGGAAGTGGCTATATCTAAAAATTGCCCTCAAAGCCTTTCTTAAATTAGCCTTCGATGCAAACTTGTTAGTCACAGAAAATAGGTAATATTTTTTTTGCCACTGGATATATAGTGGAAAAACTTTCCGTCTATTGACCTTTGGGATCTGTTAAACTGATATTTTATGTACTCTGCAAGTTTAAAATGTAGTCCCCCTCCCCCCATCTCTGTCCATAGTGTTTTTAAATTAATTTTCACCTTCCACGGGCAGAATGGTTAGACCAGAAAATCTTTTCCCCAAAGGAAATGGGAAAGATCTGGTAGGGATCTGGAAAAACAGGATAATTGTGGGCATAGTTATTAATTTAATATTTAATTAATGTGAATGATTGTGTGAAACACAATATAAATGAAGGATAGTGTGACACACAGTGTATATGAACTTTGTAGGCAAGCCAACATAAAATAAAAATTAAAAAAGAAACACTGAACACACACACACACACACACACACACACACACACACACACACACAAATGTAAAATGTATTCTGAACATTTAAGAAAAAAATACAAACTCCAAACTAAGCCAACATCAAACCTAGAAATGATTTTTTTTAAATTAGCCATTCCTTCATTAAGGTTTGCTTATATTTTATTTGGTTAAAATTATGACTCTGAACATACAACAAATTGCTTATCATTTAATCCCATTTATCCAAAATGTTATTTGATGTACAGAATGCCTTCTATGGTAAGTAACTCACTCACTTGCTCATTGCTGTAAAGTTGGAATCCAAACATGCTAAAAGCCCTCCAGTGAGTTTTCAGAGGCTGTAAATTGCTCAGGAGGAAATCGCCTGTTTTTCTTGAAAGTAAAGGAACTCTACTTCAAACTGGATTTTGAGAGAGGGAGGAGGAAAGACATTTGTCATGCTCAGTAGTTGGGGAAAAAAAAAATCGAAGGACGTGGATCCAGGGGCACAAAGCCTTGGGTTCTGTGCCTCTTTCTGGCGCTCCAGTTTGAAAATAACCCTGTTTTAATTACTGGAGTGGGTTTCCTCAGGAGTATTGAAAATATTTTACAAAAAAGTGTGGAGGAGGCACAGCTACTAGGTAGGGCAAAGAGTAAATAATTTACTTCCTATTTCTCAATCGGTATTTAGTGTGAATTCCAGGAGACTTCCAACAATGAAGCACTGGATTTTTATTGCATGATAGAAGAAAATACCATTTTCTCTAAAAGGTGCATCTTTGAACTTGTTGTAGTGTTTGGATTTCTTGCTTGGCAATATCAGATTATCAGAGTGTGTATTCTGAGGACCTTTATCACAGAGGCCCAGGGTCTGCATTGCATTTTGTAATGCATATTTTTAGAAATTATGCTGATAACTCTTGGCAGGTGGCCTTGTTTTCCTGGCAGTGCATGGCATCTGAGTGTTTCTTGTTCTGCCAGTTCATGAACCTCACACAACCCCAGGGTAGTGTTCAGACTGCTGGCCCTTCATTTCCGTGAAGGATTAGCTCTTTAAACTCTCAAAATGAAATGCTGTTTTAGCTACTACTGTGGGTAGGAATGTGGAATAGGAAAAGGAAGATATTTTGGTGTATAGTATTTTCCAGTAACTTAACTGCTAAAAGAACAAGAAGTCAGCCCTGGAAGAAGTGCACGAGAGTGCTCCTTAGAGGCAAGGATGGTAAAATTTGGCCTCACGTGGTATAAGTATGCTATCACGAGGGCCAGTCCTTGGAAAAGTAGAGTCAGAGAAAAAGTACAAGACCCTCAACAAGGTGGATTGAGACCATGACTATGTCAATTGGGCACTGACTGGAGCAATCAGTGATGAGCTCCGGCATATCAGAGAGGTGAGGATAGTGGAAGATACAGCAGGGTCCAGCTCTGTTATTCATAGGGTCACTATGACTTGCAGTTGAATTCACAACACCTAAAAGCAACAACAATAACTTGTTCTTTTGAACTGTTACTCAGATTTTACAGTGTGAGCCTGACGTTAACTTTATATGAAACTCTGCTTTCTCTTGTTTTGTCTGAAATCTCTCAGGCAAAATAAAAATTAGATGTAAAAAAAAAAAGTTAAAAAAAAGCAGACCTAATTATAATCCACATACAGCCTGTGCTTCATCTTTTTTCTTTCTTTTTTTATTTACTTTCTGTGATTCACACATGTAGCAGTTTTTTTAAAAAAAAAACCAAATTATTGATAAAAGCAAAAATGTTTGTAGTCCAAAGGAACAGAAGGAACTGGATTTCCATGTTGATTCTTATATTCTGCAGACCAGACACAGCTCTAATAGTTGTCTGTCAGACATTAAAGTTAAAACAGCTCTTAATTAAAAGTAGAATATCATTGTAACAATCTTGAGGCATTTCCACTTCATTAATTCAACAAATACGGAGTCGTTATCTAAAACGATATTTCCTCACAGCATTTACATCTTAAGTTTTGTTCACTTACATGTTCACAGTTGGGATTGTTGTGTGGCATCAAGTCGGAAGTGACCCATAGCTGACTCTCCAGTGGATTTTTTTTTTATTATTATTATTTTATACTGTGTGGATCATAACAAACTGTGGCTGACTCTGAGAAGAATGGGAATTCCGGAACATTTAATCGTGCTAATGCAAAACCTATACTTGGTCCAGGAGGCAGTTGTCAGAACAGAGCAGGGTAACACTGCATGGTTCAAAATTGGGAAGGGTGTACGTCAGGGATGTGTCCT